TCTTAAGGTTATCTATAAGGCAGTGTGCTCCAAAACAGTGACAACATTCGCATTTAGAAGATATAAGCATTCAAAGCTTGCAGTTCGTCACTTTCGCCAAAATGGCTTAATTATTTTTTTGACGTCACATCGTACTTCAGCTTCTCATCAAACTGTCTGTCCAATCAAATGCTCTCTAGAATCCGAAGCGCCCGCCCCCTACACTATAAAATAGACGCTGAAGTCTATTTTAAATAAGGCTGAAATCGGTCACTCTTCCACAGAATTAGTATTTTTTGTGCAATGAATGGCACGTAGTGCACTGTATAGGGGACAGGGAACGATTCAAACTGTGTAAATATGCTTTCCATTGAGGAAAAAAAGAAGTCTGGTTTCGCGCTATGTCACACTAACCACCGCACGATCTGAATGGCTCTGAATGGCTCTAGCCCAAGATGTGATATAAACGAACGCTATTGGCTAATTTAAAAAGGGGCGGGACTCCTTCATATGTCCCACCCTGTCTTCCTGTTTCAGTTAAAATGACGTCAACACAGAGTAACGTTGCGTGTTTCTAAGCATTTCAGAGGACCTTTAACTCTCGAACACATAGTTTTCCACAACTGTACGCGCACTCACTTCTTTGATAACTGTGCACGTTGTTTTGTCTGACTGTACATGTACCGGCAGCGCACAGCTAAATTATATGTGTCCCATATTGTCATTAATATACATACTGACTTCAACTTGGACCACTAAATAAATAGACTGCTATTGTTATGTAAGTATGACGGTTAGATTATTTAGTGTACAGGTAATTTCAAGTGTGATAAACAAAGTGATTAAAAATATTTATTTTCATGCATTTTAAATGTTTAAAAATGTGGAAACCACCCATTGCACCACACCATCTCCTGACTGCATTATTATTTGTAAAATAGGGGCTTTATGGAGTATGTGTATACAGGTGCATCTCAATAAATTAGAATGTTGTGGAAAAGTTCATTTAATTCAGTAATTCAACTGTAGCACGTAGCATGGAGGTGATCAGTTTGTGGCGCTGCTGAGGTGGTATGGAAGCCCAGGTTTCTTTGACAGTGGCCTTCAGCTCATCTGCATTTTTTGGTCTCTTGTTTCTCATTTTCCTCTTGACAATACCCCATATATTCTCTGTGGGGTTCAGGTCTGGTGAGTTTGCTGGCCAGTCAAGCACACCAACACAATGGTCATTTAACCAACTTTTGGTGCTTTTGGCAGTGTAGGCAGGTGCCAAATCCTGCTGACTAAATAAATAGACTGCTATTGTTATGTAAGTATGACGGTTAGATTATTTAGTGTACAGGTAATTTCAAGTGTGATAAACAAAGTGATTAAAAATATTTATTTTCATGCATTTTAAATGTTTAAAAATGTGGAAACCACCCATTGCACCACACCATCTCCTGACTGCATTATTATTTGTAAAATAGGGGCTTTATGGAGTATGTGTATACAGGTGCATCTCAATAAATTAGAATGTTGTGGAAAAGTTCATTTAATTCAGTAATTCAACTGTAGCACGTAGCATGGAGGTGATCAGTTTGTGGCGCTGCTGAGGTGGTATGGCACCTGTACATGGTTATAAGTATAAAAGTTAATATTTCATTAATTTAGGGAAATGAACAAGTGTCTTAGCCCTCAAGGGACTATTTGGCCAACCAGATAGTGTAAAAAACATTTGAAGCACATGTGATTGATGGACTGGCATTACTCAACATGACTTACTACCTTACAGCAACACTACATTCAATGGTAAAACTAAAATAGTAAAAAAATAAAATAAATTAGTTAATTTAAATGGAACCGGAATCAGAGCCAGAACATTTCTAACGATACCCAACCCTACTGAAGACACATTTAACATATTGCTAATTAGCCAAACAGAAATTGATGCAAACAGAAAAAAACAAAGAGGGTATACGTTTCCATGTAACCTTCAAAATTAGATGGTAGAAAATATTTTATTACATATCTCATCGTGATTATCTTCACAGAAGCCTCATTTCCAGACAAATGATAATGCTTGTGTTGATGTGACAGAAAAATCTATAAAAAGAAAATTATATATTACAGATCACTCGAATCAACATTCTAAGCACATACACGCAACAGCATGCCTAATTTATATTTGACTCTGCATTGCATTTATCAGCAATCTAATTAAATTTCATGTCTCAACCGTTTTGGGCAGTGATTGCTGCATGAGTTTAACTAGTACTAAATCCTGAATTCCTTTAATTTTAGTACTTAATTTTAGTACTTGTAATTTCCTTTAGGTTTCCACTAATAACATAATGTACGAACTATGTAATTAAAAACAAAAAAAGCATTCCTTTGAGACTGTGGAGCAGTAGATTTTTGTATGAGTGCAATACTGATATTCTTTCAAGACAATTTCAACTTCCTCACTACTGCCTGAAACCACTTCACTCTTCACAACGACCGTAGAGACTGGAGTGAATGACCCATGTAAAAGAACAAGAGCCAGCCAGAACAACTGAAGCATTATTACACTGGAGGAAAGCCCCATTGTGCTGGAATTCCTGCTTGGTCTTCAAAATACTACACGACTGAACAACATCAACCCACACAGTTTACATTTTTCACATATTTCTGTTGCAGACAAAGGTTATTTGTCTCTACTGCGCTTGCTTGGACAGTGAACTTGATCTTCCCACTCAGCTGGCATGTAACAATCAGGTGGCTTTGATGATTAGATTTTAATGAGCTGTCAATCAAAGTCTCTAACATTCTAACCTATCACAAGATGCTAGGATGCTATTTTAACATTTCTTATTACCATATAATAAGAAGAAATGTTTCTTGAGCAGCAAATGTGACACTGAAGACTGGATTAATGATGCTGAAAATTCAGCTTTGTTTCACAGGAATCAATTACATTTTAAAATACAGCAAACCAGAAAATTATTATTTGAAATTTTAATAATATTTCACAAATTTAATGTTTTACTGTATTTTTGATAAAATAACCTTTGAGCCAGAGATGGGCACTCGAGTTAGTGACTCGGACTCGAGTCGCATTTTTATAGACTTCAGACTTGACTTCAGACTCAACCTGAAATGACTCCAGACTTGACTCGACTCGAGGAAAAGGACTCGTGAATATTTTAAAAGCAACTGGAGTCTTTTAACCTTAAATACTTATATAACTGATTTTAAAAAGGTGGACCGCATCCACACCGCTGCATCCATCCGGACCGCGAGCTGTAGCAGCACCATTTTTAGTGAGCAGCGAGTCAAAATAGAGGAGCGGATCGCATAAGCGCTCAGGGTCGTTTATGGTAAATATCTTTCAGTGCTATATATTCTAGTATTTTTATCTAAAGCCAAACACGCTTTATTCAAGCCCTTTCAGTTCTGTGTGCTTTCTCTCTCTCCGGACGCGGGCCGGCACCAAGTTCAAGAGCTGTGGATAACGCGGTTATTTTAACAACAACAACAGAAATACGGTGAGCAGCAAAATTATAGATTACTTTCACTAAAACAGAGAAGAAAAAAACAATGCTGCAAATACAGTATAGTTATTTTTCTTGCTATATATCTATAACCTATGACTCTGACTAGCTATTCAAACCAGATGTGACAAGACGTTATTCTGAAATTTAGCATTATTAATCTGTAGGCTAAGAACATTAAACAAAAAAAAAAATATCTAGGCCTAATTATAATTGGGAAAATTGTTGATAGATGGCTAGGATGGAATTTAAACTTTGAAACTGTTAATTATCTTTTTTTTCTGCTCAAGATGAGAACGTTTTGATTAGCTACATTGTTTTTAGTAGGCTAGATACTGTTTTTAAGTAAAATATTAAAATAGTATACTGTATATGTCAGGCTTGTGTTGTGTTTTGTTCCCCATGTGCTCCCTGTGTCCCAGTATTTATGCCCATATTTTTTTGGTTAGTTTCCTGTTCCTGTCCTGATTATGTTGATTTAATCCCAGGTGTTCCCAGTTTGTTTTCATTGATCCCAGGTGTGTCTCGTCATCCCCTCGTCTTGTCATGTTTTTAAATAGTGTTCCCTGTCTTTAGTTCAGCGTCCGGTATTGTTCATGTCTACATGTATAGCGTGAGTGTGCCGTGTTCCTTTGTCTTAATTAAACCCATTTGGATTGATGTACTCCTTGTCTCTCTCACTATATTAGTTTTGAGATAATCAAAGGAAATGCAGACTTGAGCCCCTATTCTTTGCAGGTCCCAAAATTACCCTGATATGCAAGAGCAACATGAGAAGAGAACAAAGAATATACCATGTCTACTAAAAAAAAAAAAAAGAACAACAACCTAGACCAATAGTTTCCAACCTTTTTGACTTCCAACCATTGTAATTAAGATATTATATATATATATATATATATATATATATATATTAAAATACAAATATTTTTGTGCTCAACAATAGAAGTAAACTCATTTGTTGTATGAGGGTAAGTAAATGATGACAGAATTTTCATTTTTGGGTGAACTATCACTTTAAAGTCATCTTGTGGCCCCCTTGAAGCTACTGGCTTACCAACTGAACCGGGTTTTTTTTTCTCAGTAGAGATAATTAAAAAATGTTTATTTAAGGGGGGAAAAAAGCACTATTTGAAATTAGGCTGTCATAACTTACTTGTTTAATGGAAAAGAGGTACCTGAAACATAAACTAGGTTTAGATTTCTATCATAGCATCCTTTGTGAACTTTTGTGTTCAGTGGACAAAATATTAAAAATCTGATTTTCCACAAATTTTGTATAGGGAAAAATGATGGGCTGTGAAAAGGACACGTGACCAAAAACCTTCACAGCATTTTGAGCAGAGTGCACCACTAACCCTACAACCTCATTTTCATTTGCATCAAATTAAATGTGCAATTTACTGTGACAAAAATCTAAATTTTGCCCATTGGAGGAGCCCTTCCTCGATTGTGCTTATAATGACATCCATAAAATGCTGTTAAAGACCGTAATGATAATCTCACCTTGAGGAATGACAGGTTGCGGTTTCTTTCAATACTGGTGATCTCCAGATTTCCCATGACCACCTCACAGTTTTCGTAGAACTTGCGAAGAGTTTTGTACTGCTGGTCCAAATCCGACAGCGTGCTGAGCTTGTTATCAGTGCCAGGACACACTATAGAGGAGAAAAAGAGAGAGAAATAAAACAGGTAAAGATCAAAAAATTAAAAGATGGGTCAAATCAAATAATTCCTTAATAATGTGGTATTATTTATTGCATAAATAACAAGCTTTGAATAACTACAGCTATGAAAGCCAACAACAATTAGGAGGATGGGTGAGAATTCCAAAAAAAAAAAAAAGGAAAACCACTGGAAACCTTCCAAGGCAGCATTAGCTTCTCTAACCAATGTGTGCAGTGTCCTTAGGCCACAATCATAAATCTTTTTCTTCATATGGACGCTTCAGTATCGCACACATTGTGTTAAAAGACACAGGTCATTACTTCAAGAAAGCAATTAACAAAATTATTGAGCGAACGTTCATGTGCGTTTACGCTTCCAGTGACCTGCTTTTGCAACACTAAACATCTGCCATCCTCAACAACCAGATAAAAGAAGCATTTTCCACTTTTTCAATTAAAAAAAGCCTGTGTGCCTGGCAACAGTGTTAATGTCAGCTTCTCTTTATTTTCACCCAGCTGAGCACTGAGGGCTGTATGGCAGGTTTTAATTAAGTATTTGGTGAGGGATTGTTCCACTGATCCCAGAGACTAATCCTTGCTTGGAATCTCGGCGATGCCAGGCATCATACGGGCATCTCAACTCATTGTTTCTTTATTTCAGATTGGAGTGACCCAGTAGGTTTCGATCCTAGGATAATCTGAAGGATATTGCATGGGATTTCATGCACCTTTTTGGTAAAGGTAAAGAACAGTGTAAAACTGGAAGATACAACAGACTTTACAAGCTTTGGATGATGCAAGAACAGTTTAGAGCCTACAACTAACTGCACTGGTTAAACAACATTGTACCATTTTTTTGTCATATGAATAGTTTTCAAATTTGTTGCCATTATTTCTTCTTTTAAGGTGAGGGGTGTACATTTAATATATAACTCATGCCTAAAGAAAACATTAAATAGTGTTTGCAAATCATTTAACGGTATTCCATATAGGGGTGGGCAATATAGCCTCAAAATTATATCACGATATTTCAAGAATATCCGTGATAACGCTATTTATGACGATATATATATATAAATAAAACATGGAAGGTTTTATTGGTGATTGAAGCTGGCATTTATTAGTGCAAACAAAATGAAGGGCATTTTCCATCCTTTTCCAATGAGCTACTGTCATTGATGACAGACTACCTAATTTGAAATCTATTGTCATAAGGTGGCAGCAGCAGCTGTGTGTTCGACTTGAAGCAGACCGATCGGTGTATGACGTCAAAATACCACGAGAGTGACTTACCCCTTATTTACATTGGACAACTCTGACGTGGCCACTCTAGTCAGTGCTTGTGTTTACACCAGCAGAGCCGCGGCACGTTTCAGAAGCGTCCCAGTAGCGGCTCTCCACGCCGCTTCGCTAAAGATATGCGCCTCTTCTATTTTTGAAGGTAAGACTGTGCGCACGAATATGCTCTAGAACCGCTCTCGCGATACTTTGATGTCATACACCGATCTCAGTATTTCATATTTAATGAAATATTAGAAATCACTTTCTTTAGAGTAACACACATTGATGAATTGTGCACAGTAGGAACGAGGGAATTTTGATTTAAATTTTGGTTATATTTTGGGTAGCACTTAATTTTATGATCTTCTTCCTACTATGTAGTTATTATAGTAATTACAACAACTAAGTAATAACTAGGTAGTAACCCTGAACCTACCCCTAAACCTAACCTTAATCACGTAGTTACCTTATACTACCCAGCACTTTCTTAGGTAGGTACACTGAACTGTAAAATAAAGTGATACCAAATTCTGATTCCAAAATGAATTTTAGAATGAATTTTAGAATTATTTTCACAATCATACTGGAGTGCACTCCAAAAATGATCTGCAGGTAAGAAGGAAATAAAAATGATAAATGTGAATAATAAAATACAAGTAGGTTAAAATAAAGTTTGTAGTAGTTTTAAAAACTTGAAATATGAAGTTTTTCAGTTTGAAGTAGTTTGCATTAGTTTTGAAGTTTGCAGTTTGAAGGTTTTGAAAGCTGTGGGGTGGTTCCTATGCAGATGCTAGGATATTCTGAGTGGTTGCTAGGGTGTTAGGGTGTTGCTATGTGGTTGGTAGGTTGTTCTTGAATGGTTGCCAGAGTGTTTCTATGCATTTGCTAGCACATATTATCACATTGCTATCATGTTTCAGATAGTCTTTGCTAGACAGATAGACAGATAGACAGATAGATAGATAGATAGATAGATAGATAGATAGATAGATAGATTCTTTAAAGCCGGGAACACTACTCTCAGGCCAATTATGAATGTAATTTGGGCTCAGCCAGTGTTTTTAGTCCGTGTTTAAAATCGTTTAGTGTGCGGTGTCTAAAGAATTTAAGGCCAGTTGTTACTAGTCGTCCTCACAAAGATTATTTTTGCGACTAATGCCAGCGACTAACTGTACCTGTTTCCAAATATAAATGGCCTATTAATTTAAATAACAAATTAACAAATAATTATAATAATTAAAAAAAAAATTACAAACATGACATTTCTGAATAAAATAATTGTATACACTTCAATTATATCTAATATATTTGAGAAAATATGATGAGGAAATACAGTGCATTGAATAGGCAATCTTTGCACATTTACTGTAGAATAATGAAATTAAAATTACAATATACAAATAATATTTTAAATGACTTCTGTTTGGGAATGAATAAAGCAGTATTTAATTTTCTTTCTAACTGCTAACTCAGATTTTGTATGAGGACAGGCTCTAGCTACAGTATGTTGTATGTAGATGTTGTGACTTAAGTGATCAAGTTCACGTCTGTGTTTTGTATTCGTATTAGTTGAGCAGATGAGCATTATGACCTGGCATGAGGTCTTCGTTCTACACAGCTTCTAACTTTATAGGTCAAGTGGCCTGTTGTAATCTGTAGCAGTATTCAGGGGCTATTGTGAATGATTTTAGGTTATGTTGACAATGGGCATGTTCGTGATGGTGATGGAGATGGTAGTTTTACTATGTGTGTCTTCAACTGTGTTCTACGTTTTATTTTTCCATAGGATCAAAGAAAAGATTGAAATTACCTGAATACTGAGTCCTACTCCATCCGTTAGTTACTAGTGCCCGCTCACTTTTGCCCAGGCCCGACCAAAAATAAAATTCTGCCTACGCCACTGGATAGAACTACTAGGGTTGCACAAAATCTGTCACTTGGTTAAAGGTAACTAGAAATATAATTTGTGCTTACTTTTTTATTTTAACTGTAGTACTGCACTCTTTTGAGACGTTCAATGTATATTTCCAGGCTCTGTGTCGAACCAGTGGAGATCTATTGTTTTTGAGTGTGTGTGTGCTATTAGCGATGATTTCCAGGGACAGTGATGAGTCTTGGCTGAAGGAGCTGTGAGTGCTAACAGGCACATGAACAGACAGGCCCCTTTAACCCTGGCAGAGGTGTCAGACTTGACATGCAATTAAATACACCTATTTCCACCCATCAAAAACCCTTCCTGGGTCCAGCCTGAACCATCTGCTACATCAGCTGGCCCATGCCTGCCGAGCACCACAAAGCCAATTATTGTAAATGTGTGTGAGTAGAAAATACATGTCCAATGATTCATGTGAGAATGCTTTTGTGTGCTTGTGTGAAACACATGGCCATTAGATTCCTTTGGCAGGAAATATTCCCTTTTTCACTTCTGCATCAGTATTCATAATTCTCATGAATCAGTATTCAAGTCTCTCTTAACCATCTTTACATGTCATGTTTTTGAGGTTGTTGACCACAGTGAGAGATATGAAGAATATATATATAAAAAAAATTATTCAGACACCAGATATAATATTTTATATATTTTTACTAGTGCAGGACACTATAGCTCATTTATGTAAGTGAGGATAGCAAAATAAAGTAAACTGTGACATACTATACCCAACAGTTTTTTCATACAGTGGACTACCAGTAAAATTGTTAAAAATTTGGGACCAACAATTATTCAGACACTTTGACCTGACCTTGTTTTGCTTAAGTGTTATCTGACATTATCAAGATGAATCTGTTCTTGTCATATATTTTTTTAAATATATATTAGGGTTGGGCGATGTCTACCAAATTGGCATCGGACGATGTCTACAGTGAAACATTGTGATGGACGATAACATCTGCGGGGCGGGGTGGGGAGGTGGGGTTAGGGTTGTGCCCGAAGCGGAGTCACTAAAAGGTTAGCCGCTTGCTAGCGGTAGCCTGTTGCATTACAGTACATGAAAGTTCACTTACCACATACACAGAGTAAGGAGAAATGTGAAATATTCAGCTTAACATTGTGATGTCGGTCAGCCATCGGCCTTAATAGTGCAGGACACTATAGCTCATTTATGTAAGTGAGGATAGCAAAATAAAGTAAACTGTGACATACTATACCCAACAGTTTTTTCATACAGTGGACTACCAGTAAAATTGTTAAAAATTTGGGACCAACAATTATTCAGACACTTTGACCTGACCTTGTTTTGCTTAAGTGTTATCTGACATTATCAAGATGAATCTGTTCTTGTCATATATTTTTTTAAATATATATTAGGGTTGGGCGATGTCTACCAAATTGGCATCGGACGATGTCTACAGTGAAACATTGTGATGGACGATAACATCTGCGGGGCGGGGTGGGGAGGTGGGGTTAGGGTTGTGCCCGAAGCGGAGTCACTAAAAGGTTAGCCGCTTGCTAGCGGTAGCCTGTTGCATTACAGTACATGAAAGTTCACTTACCACATACACAGAGTAAGGAGAAATGTGAAATATTCAGCTTAACATTGTGATGTCGGTCAGCCATCGGCCTTAATATATATATATATATATATATTCTTCATATCTCTCACTGTGGTCAATAACCTCAAAAACATGAAATTGCGCTATATATATAGCGCAAGTCTGTAAAACATTTGAAATGGCCCATTTAATTTTAAGCACATTTAGAAACTATATTT